TGGGTTCTGGAGAAAACTCACAATGTGTTACCGTTCTGAAGAGTCAGAAGGAGTCAGAAGGCAGAAGTAGAACAAAAGTTACATACATCCCATTTTTTATATTAAATCACAGTTTTTATAGTGTTGGTAAAGGTAAGGTACCTCACAGGAAGCTGTGAATCCTCTGTGACTGAAAGGTCTTGAGATTGTTCAGTATAGAGGCTCTCTGGTTCTGTCTGCAAGAGAACTTTTAACCATCTCCAGTGAAATACCTTGGTCACAGAGCAGAGGGATGAGTTCTAAAAACACACTGTCCACTGTGAGAGCAGCTGCACTGCTGCAAAGCAGAGGGCACAGGCTGGAAAAGGGTCAGAGGTTATTTGATCCCTTCAGAGTCTGAACCCTCATCATATAATGGCATTCACATTACAAAATCTTCCTCAGAAGTTGTGCAGGTCTTTTCATGGTCTTTGTAGATGAATATGAAGATTATAACAATATAACCACAGATTAATCTATCAGCCCTTTCTCTTTTCTGCACCTTGCTTATCTTTCCTTGTAGATCTCTAAGCAGCAGCTCCAGTGAGCTGCATTGCCTGCTTCCAGGCTCCTGACATGCCTGCTAATTCCTGCTGTAGCATTCCTGTCCTGGGATGACACTTTAACCCTGTCCTTGCCAAAAACAGCATAGGTTCTGTCTGCATACAAGAATTTCAGACAAAAAAAGGTTATTTTTAGTTTTAGAGCAGTGAATTTGCAACTCTCATGTGCAGGACCAGAGTGTCTGCCTACATAAAATACAAAGACAGGACTAAAGGCTGGTTAAGCAAATATGGTCAGTGCACTGGAGAGCTCTCACTCTGCAATACACACACTTCTCACAGAGAGAGCCAAAGCCACCTATCCAAAACAAACAGCAACCATTCCCTCCTTTTCCACAGTTAATCAAGTTCGGGGGAAAAAAAAAAAAAGAAGAAGAAGAAGAAAAGTAGGGATGGGACTTTTTGGCGGAGTTGGAATAAAAGCTTTAAATGCATAAATGCATAACAAGTTTTATGGAGTTCTAGAGGAAACAAAATATTGTCAAATGTCTCTGACAAGGTGGCCCAGATAATCTGGGATACGTGCAGAACTTGCTGGGCAGGAGAGAGGTGTCGTGAGAAAGAGCTCTGGTGGATGCAGCCTGCTGTGAGTGGTCCACGGGATCCCAGGAGGAGCATCTGTTTTGGGACCAGCAGTTGCACTGTAATTAGAGAGCAACATCAGCTTTCAAAACAATCATTTTGATGTTCTTCTTCAGATGGAAACTTGAGTTTTGAAGTGGAGTCTTGTTTACTATAAATGAGGATCAAACAGGCAGCTCTTTCCTCATTAGCAGCCACTGGACAGTAACTATTTTTAGCTGCAAATTACAAAATGAGGCAGATTCAGACAGAAGCATAGAGGGTGAAAAGTATTTCCTTCCCAATCTTCTAAGCTAGTATATACATTGTATTTGTTTTAACTGAGATGCTCTAGAAAAAGGAATTAAACAATTCTTTATTCCACCTCAGCTCATACTTTACAACTGTCATGAATTCAGGATGAATACATAGGGAAAGAGTCATGGGCTGTTTGGGTTCGAAGGGACCTCTAAAGGTCAGCTGGCCCACACTTTGGCCACACTCGGTGTGACAGTACAGGAGGGTGGTGGCAAGGGTTTACACTATTAAGACCACATCTGTTGCATTCTTCCATGCTACCAAATTGCATAAAGAAAATGTTGAATTCCAGCCCCAAAACATGCACGAAAAGATGATCAAGGTGAAGTTAGAAACGCTCAGAATTAGGAAGTGAGAATACAACTGAAATATCTGTGCATACGAAGGAGACTCCAGTGGACCTCGTGAGGGTGGCACCCACAGTGGCAGAGCCAGGGCTGCTCCCTCTGGGGTACCCCGACCCTGCTCCCCTCCATGCCCTGCCCACAGCCCCCCACTCTGATAATCCCCAGGTGTTCCTGCCACAGAGCACTCCCACAGTGACATGGCCTGACCTCAGAGTGCCTGTGCTTTGCTCTCATTCTGGCATCATACCAAAACCTTACTGTAGAGCATGTCAGAAGGAACATAGGGATTTCTTTTTTTTTTTTTAATAGACGAATCTTTGGCAAACTATGAAAACCATTTCATTGGAGAAGAAGAAAAAAAGTCATTCCTCTTGCTACAGGACTTTTTTCCTGCAAATTTCAAAGGCCTGCTGTGAATAATAGTGTCAGAGCTTCCAAGCTGCAAGCCTATTTTATAGTGGAAAGTGTGAGGCAACCAAAATAAATATCAGTTCCCACTGTTACAAAATAAAGATTTTGCTTTATGTTGTACCTTAAAAGCCGTGTTCGGGAATGTGTTTTTTGAGACACAGAAGTAGGTACCCCAGAAGGTTATTTTTTTCATATAGGCATTGGGTTTGTTCACAACAAATTGGGAAATAATTTGAGACAGAAAGAACCCTATGGCTTTCTTTATGATGCAAAACGTAACAGGAATTTGTCTCCCTAAAGGACTGAAGGCAATACTTAAATCCAAATGCTGCCAGTCCTTAGGATGTTTGAAATACATATTTCTATTTAATGGCGTGAGTGCATCTCTCTTTACACAGTTTGTGAGTATTTTTGACAAACCTGGTCCTAGTTTTCTGCTAGCAGAGTTACAGATGAGACAAGTTTTCCATGGTTTGGGGTTTTATTGCGAATGCTTCGCACAGCTCTGGTTATGTGTTTCCTTTTCATGACATCAGTGGTGAAGGGGAGAAAGAATGTAAACATCTGCTTTTTATAATTCAATTCCAGGCTTATAACTTGATTAGGATAAGCAATGTTTCTACATGATTTATTTTCCAGTCACAACAATGCGCAGTTTTAGCAGCAATTTAAAGATTAGTAAAATAAGGATGGAAACTAATGAGGTAAATCCTGCTTCATGATCTACCTTTTTGAACTGCACTGAACATTGTGCAAAGGCTGGGGATTTCCCTCTCACTCGGTTTTTAAAATGATGTCCCGTTATTCCCCACAGTGCAGGATGCAGCCCATGGAAAGGAGGCTGAGTGCACAGCAGTGCTGAGGTGAGATGGAGCAAAAGGGAATTTGGCTCCTGACTCTCTACAGGGCTCTTCTATGTAGCATTGGGTCAGGACTGAGTTTTCCAAAGATGCCTGCTGGCACATTGCTGCATCCCTAAACAACTAAGATAGGCCTGAAATATAAAACCTTTAATCTTTTCCATCGCCGGAGTAGGGTTAAAATTCCACTCTGGTTGCTTCCCTTCCTTTGTTTTCCAGGGTTTTCTCGCACCAGGAACTGACAGTGCCTGAAGCCATGGTCCTGGTCAAAGTCTGGAGTCTTTCCTACTCCCTTTGAACTATTAAATTTAATTATATGCTCATGGGCACTGAGGAGGACTTCATTAGTAGTTGTATGTGTAACTGAAGCCAAGGGACAGCCAGGGCAGTAGCGCATGTCAGAGTGATTTCAGTCTTGTATCACGTTTCCAATAATAAAACACTAAAAATCACAGAATCCCAGAATGGTTTGGGTTGGAAGTGACCATAGAGTTCATCCAGTCTCACCCTTGCCATGGGCAGGGACACCTCCCACTATCCCAGGACAGAGCTCCAAGCTCTGTCCAACCTGGCCTTGGACACTTCAGGGATCCAGGGACAGCCACAGCTTCTCTGGGCATCTGTGCCAGGGCCTCACCATCCTCACAGGGAGCGATTCCTTCCCAATATCCCATCTAACCCTGCTCTTCTGGGACGAGCCGGCACCGCCATCCTCACCTGCGGCAGGTGCGGGCACAGACCTCGGGCCGTGAGAGACAGGTCCTGCCGGGGGGCGGCCGGGGAGGGAGGACCCCAGGTGAGGGGTGAGCTCAGGGTGAGGGCAGAGACCCCAAGGTGAGGAGTGACCCCCAAATGAGGGCGGGACCCCAGCATAAGGACGGCGACCTCGAGGTGACGGAGTGACCCCCAGGTGAGGGCAGGACTCCGAGGAGGAGGCGGGACCCCGGCGTAAGGTCGGCGACCCCGAAGTGAGGGAGGGACCACAGCTGAGGGAGGGACCCCGGGGTGACGGCGGAAACCCTAAGGCAAGGACGGCGACCCCGAAGTGAGGGAGGGACTCCAGGTGAGGGAGGGATCCCGAGGTGAGGGCAGGGTGCGCAGCGGGCCACGGGAGGCGGACCGGGGCGGGTGCCGCCTCAATCCGCAGCCGGTGCTCCCGCGGCGGCAGCTGCAGCTCCATCCCCATCCCCATTCCCGGCCGGCAGCAGCAGCCCCGCGGCACGGCCGGGGCTCAGCCCTGTCCCTCGGGGCGGCGCTGCCCCAGCCCTGCCCGGTAGGGAAGGCGGAGCGGGGCCGCAGGCGCGCGCAGACAAAAGCGGCGGCGCTTCCTGCGCCGCGCCTGAGGGGAGCGGGCGGTGGGCGACGGGCTCCGCTCTCCCCTCTCCCCTCTCGGTCTTTGCTCCCCTCCGTCTGTCCTCGCCCTTCCCGGTCTGTCCGCGAGCTCTCCCCGGTCCGTCCCGGTCTGTCCGCGCGTTCTCCTCGGTCCGTCCCGGTCTATCCGCGCGTTCTCCCCGGTCCGTCCCGGTCTATCCGCGCGTTCTCCCCGGTCCGTCCCGGTCTATCCCCGCGTTCTCCCCGGTCCGTCCCGGTCTATCCGCGCGTTCTCCCCGGTCCGTCCCGGTCTATCCGCGCGTTCTTCGCTGTCTGTCCCGGTCTGTCCCCGCGTTCTCCGCGGTTTGTCCCCGCTCTCTCCCCGGTCCGTCCCGGTCTATCCGCGCGTTCTCCGCGGTCCGTCCCGGTCTGTCCGCGCGTTCTCCCCGGTCCGTCCCGGTCTGTCCGCGCGTTCTCCGCGGTCCGTCCCGGTCTATCCCCGCGTTCTCCCCGGTCCGTCCCGGTCTGTCCCCGCGTTCTCCGTGGTCTGTCTCCGTTCCCCCGGCCCAGCTGCCCCCAGTGCCTCTCCCGGCCGCCGCGGGTGCGGCGCGATGACTGTCGGTGGGAGCCCCGGGGCGCTGGGCACGGTGCTGCTGCTGTTGCTCGCCCTACGCGCCCGCGCTGTGCCCGAGCCCGAGGCGGTGCCCGAGGGAGCCTCCACCCTGGCCTTCGTCTTCGATGTGACCGGCTCCATGTACGACGACTTGGTGCAAGTTATCGAGGGCGCATCCAAGATCCTGGAGACATCATTGAAGAGACCCAAGCGGCCCCTGTACAACTTTGCGCTGGTGCCTTTCCACGACCCCGGTAGGGCATTCCCCACTGTGGGCTGAGCGGGACCTGGGTCGGGGCGGGCAGCAGCTGGGAAGGGCAGCAGGGAGTTCCCGAGGGCTGGAAAAAGGCTGGGTTTCCTCCGCTTGCAGAGACTAGAGCCTAAGTATTCCTGTCCCATCGTAGTCCTTGCCGCACGCGTTTCTCTGCCGAGGGCGAGTAACAATATGTGATCACTTCGCTGTCTCTCTACAAAGCTTCCCAAAGCCTTCGGGATAGACTAGAATGGGCTTTAAATGTGCTTTGTGCATCAGAGCATCTTAAGGGATCAAATACTCCCCTTAATTGTTCTGATACAAGCTGAAGTAGCGCCAGTGAACTGCACGTGTAGTAGTAACGGTGCTACTGATTTTTTTTCCAATGCTCTTCTATGGGAGTGCACCTAAGAACATGCATAATGCAGTTGCATTCTTCCTCCTGTCTTACTTTCCCATGTTTACATGCAGAAACTTAAAATGAAATGATCCAGAAGCTTTACATGGTATGGTTTTTTTTGTTTTGTTTTGTTTGTTCCCCTCACCTTTTTTCTGTCTTCTGCTGTACATCATGCATTCCTCTCAGCATCTGTTTTTTGTTCCCTTCCTATCCATTTTCTTTGGCTTTCTTCCTCTTTCCTTGTCAAATTATTCTGTTGACTTGAAGAGGAAATAGGAACAGGATGCCCCAGGCTGGTGATATGTGCTGTACTGTGTAGTAAAAACTCCCTTAAAAAAAATCAGAAAGTGGGAAAAAGCCCTTGAAAATTACCTTTTGGCTTTAGTTCCCATGGAATATCTCAGAATATCTCTGATATTCCTAAACTCAGTGCTTAAGAGTTCTATTTTTTCAGGGATGTTAGCAAAAAAAATGGACATCTTTTCTATTTCCCCCCAGTAACAGATATTTCTGCTGACATTATTTTGCTATTGGTATAAATACCTTAAACCAAATGCTTAGAAAATTAGAGGGAATAGCTTGTATAGGTTCTATTTTTTTATTACAAAGAGTTCTTCATTGTGGTATCAGAGTGTTCTATCACAAAAGTGTTGTTACTGTTCCAACATTTGATGTCATTTTCTTTTTGTTTTCCTTCTGTTCACCCTTATCCCCCTCCCCCCCCGCCCTTTTTTTTGTTATTTTATGGAACAAGCTTATATGGAACTTAAAAGGCATCCTGCCACAGAAATAAACAAGAAGGGAAAGATTTGGGTCAAGTGTAGAACCTAGAACTCTTTTTTATCCTAAGCTGATAGATCTCTTTGGAGCTCTTTTTCCATGGAATGGCCAGAATATCAAGACGATGGGTTGGGAGTGTTTTAGTGTGGTTTTCTCTCAATGATAGCACATCTTCACTTGAGTGAGCAGAAAGAGATTCAGTCTAGGAGTTGATAGTTCTGTTTTTCAGAGTGATTGGGTAACTATTTCATCCACAAAAGCAAGAAGATCTTGTGTGGTGCACTTTTAGTTTGGGGGTTTGTTTTGTGGTCCTTTGTTCTTGTGCATCCTAAGTAGAAAGAAATCTCAGCTTTCTCTCATGGGTAGTCCTCTGCTAAGTTTTCATCACAGGCCACTTTCATGTCCTCTGTTTCAATAGCTCCTTTTTTCTTTCTCAATGCATATGTTTTCTGTTTTTCTTCTGCACATTTTCACCTTTTCAGTCGCTTCTTCTGTCCTCCTCACATTCTTGCTCCCACTGCCTCTCCAGGTTCTTTCTTTGTGTTCCAGACTGACTCCTGTGACCATGCTTTGCTGTACCACCCCTCCTTGCTCTGTACAAACCTCACCAGTAACAAATCCACTGCCTCCTTCCCCTGCTTGAGTCACATTTTCCCACTCAGTGACTCCTTGCTTCCTTGCCTCCTCCCCCATTCCCTCTCTTTGCCCAGGAGATCCCTTTCCTTGGCAAATGTTCGACTTCATTCAGTGGAGTGACTGAAACTTAAACCTGCAGAGAACTGACCTGTGCAGCACAGAGCTGCTGGCAAACGTGCCTCGGAGTATCCTGTTACACCTCTGTGTGGAAGCCCAACTTCCCTGAGGGGGCCTTACTTCTTAGCGTGATGGATAACTTGTGAGGGCAGGGAGCTCTCTCAAAGTGGAGGATGGACAATTTTCAACTTCATTTTGTCCTAGTTTCTGAAAGATATTTATTTGGTCTTTCTCAGAGTTAGAAAGACACACTACAAGCCAGTGTGTTGAATTTTATGGATGTGTAAGGTCCAGGTGACTGCTGGTCATCTTTACCATACATCTGATGATGACCAAGCTGCGGCACTTGAAAAGAAAATGCAAGAAATGCTGTTGTGAACACTTCAACCTCTATTTTTGTTTTGTTTTGTTAATCTATAGAGAAGTAACTTTATGCAAGAACCTCATAAAAATACTGCTTGGCAAGTATTTCACATCATTCAATTCGTTTACCTAGTATTGGTCTATCTGAAGGGTCCTCAACTAAATTAATGAGCATGAAGGTATTTTTTTTACAAGTTGTGTTGTTATTCACTCAATCCTTCTTCCAAAAAAAAGAGCTTTATATGTTGCTGCCTCACAGGCAAATTTTCTGGGTATTTTCGTGAGATGCTGTGGTCCCTGGGGCAGATGGGACTCTACAAGGGATACAGATACAGTTGGGGCTCAGGTCCAAGGAGCTTCTCTTTGAATAAAGGTCCCCTGATGCAGATACTCTATTGATAGGTAATTGCAATTAAATTGGGCATGGATTTGGTTTCAAACTGTCTTATTTCACTAGAGTGTGTTGCAGAGTGCACTTGACATCCCACAGGGTACAGCTGGATTGTAAACAATTTGGTAAAAATGTAGTCTAGCAGAATATGGGAGAATTTTTAAATAACTCGAAGTGCTGCATTATTAGTGTTTCATTGAGGCACTGGAGCTTGTCCAGGGAAGGGAAAGGAGCTGGGGAAGGGGCTGGAGCACCAGGAGCAGCTGAGGGAGCTGGGAAAGGAGCTCAGCCTGGAGAAAAGGAGGCTCAGGGGGGCCCTTCTGGCTCTGCACAACTCCCTAATAAGAGAGGACAGCCATGGGGGTCGGCTCCCAGGGAACAGAGACAGGATAAGGGAAAAAGGCCTCAAGCTGTGCCAGGGCAGGTTCAGATTGGACATTAGCGAAAACCTATTCACAATAAGGGCTGTAAGACATTTGCACAGGTTGCCCAGGGCAGTGGTGGAATCCCCATCCCTGGAGGTGTTCAAAAACCAAGTGCATGTGGCACTTGGGGACAAGGTTTAGTGATGGTGGTGTTGGTTGATGGTTGGACTTGAGGATATAAAAGGTCTTTTCCAAACCTAAATGATTCTGTGATTCCATGACTGAGATGTGCCAATGTGCTGGGGTGGGTGGTGGTAGATTTAAATGTAGTGTTTTCCCTTCTGCAGCGGCATTTTGGTAAAACAGGAATACAAGTATATTTTTGGTATCAAACCTGAGGCTTTTGGCACAGAATTGTGGCCTATGGAAAAATTTGTCATGGCTTGCACATTCCTATTCCATGTACCATCTGGTGGGATGCAGAGAGTTCAACTTTGGAAAATCCTTTTGCTTTGGATTCTACTTTGTGAATAAGCATGTGCAGTACTTTAACAGATTACAGGGATTTTTTTTATTGTGGGCTTTCAATGCCTAAACGTGATCACAGAACTTTTGTAGATAGTGAAAAGAGCTGTTGACTAAGAAATCTCTTGCCAGACTTGTGTTCAATGGAAAAACTGGCGTGGGGGGTGGAAAATTGTCCCAAATTTAAGAAAAGTTGGAACAAGAAAATTTTCAACTGGAGCTAAAGCTGAAGATCAGCAAATGCTTTTGTAGTTGCGTGTTGTGGGTCCTGATGTCCTACTAACTCCCATTGTATCCTGTGGAAATGGGATTGAACTTGGAATGTCTTTATTTAACATCTGTGGCCAGCTTTGCTATTTTTTCTTTATGCCATTAAGGAATTTTGGAATGGAAAATAAGCCTGAGAGGACAAATTCATCCCTGGTATTTTTCTGTAAAGCTAATGGAATTATACCAGTCATAACTCACTCTGTGTGATTTAATCAAGCATTCCTTTAGTGTGAATGACTATTCTATAGACCAAACTCCAGTAATTAATTAAGACAAAAATGAAGGGAATATATAACCTCTGGACTCTCTAGGGTAAAGGATGGTGTTTGCCTGTTCATGCTCTGCATATCTACAGAACTCTGAGCATCTCCTGACCCTTTTCTAACAAATCAAGAAGGCAACACTGTGTGTGAAAAGGGGAAACATTAATAATGCTTAGTTTAGATGGGAAAATAGTATTGAACTTAAGTCACATAGTAAGTGTATAGAACTAAGAATAAGTTTTTATTTTTCCTTGATCCCACTCCTCTCTTTTGAGAGAGCAAAGCTCTTTTCTGTCTTGAAGTGACGTTATGCACATAGTTAAGCACGTAGTTATGTTTAACTGTAGCCTCTTTTCTTTAACAGACTGGCAGGGCTGTGTCCATAACATGGTTAGGCTGCTGAGCCACATACTAGCTTGGATCAAGTTCAGGAGGTCATATGAAAAGTCTAGGAACTCTGAGTTTTGCAGGTTTGATGGGTTTTTTTAGAAGTTATAATGAAGAAGTAATGTTTTTTCCAGAGGAGGAATTCTATGAAATTAGAATTAGGCTATTAACGGAGTTAATGTTTTTTGTACTTCCTGACAGAAAAAATACTGTGGCTATGCAGATGGATAATGAAGGGAGAGGGGAAGACACTCCTGTGTCCTTGCTGTACCCACAGCTGGATGGTATCATGGATCATGTCACTGCCTCTTCTTCTCACATCCAACTCTCCTGATAGCTCCATGTGCTGCCCTGCACTTTTGCATTCTTCTGTCACTTGAGGTCTTTGGCCTTGGGCTTTACTCTCAGATTTATGAGTGTCTAAACTTCTCAGGCAGAGGCTGAATGTGTGTAAATCACTTGGAGAAGATGAAGAATGGCCCTTCTGGTATAGCCTTGAGAAGA